TTGAGTCAGTAAATCCTTTTGGTTTTGTCAGGTGGCCTCTTACATGGAAACTTTCTTCAGCATCCAGTCTCTATGCCTTATCTCTGGAAGCAGAACCCAGAAAGAGGTTTTACAAGCTCAATGTCTTACCCTTGTTTTGTTAAAATACTTGTCTATTTTTAAAACCATGGGACCAAAGGAGAGAGGCTTATATTAAACTGTGCTGATCTTATCTGGACCATTTTAATGCATGTTGCTTTACAGATCACTCTTAGGCTAAGGGCTGGAATTAATAAGGTGACAGAAGAGACAGAGAATTACATGAAACTGGGCACAGGGTCCATGTCTCCTGTGTCAGACATTCTCTCCAGTTACAGAAGGACCTGCTGGCAGTGGCACCAGCACCTGGTACTCTTTCCACTTGGGGTACATGTTTTGGCTTTTTTTTCTAGGTTCACAGTCAGAGCCTGAGAGATACAAAAATCCTTGGAGGTTTTTGTGTCTGGTTAAAGAAAAAAGCCTCTGTCTGAACCTTGCATAGTAACAACTGGCTGCCCCCACTTCATCCTGCACTACAATGTGGAGGCTATTGTGCAGCAGAGTAACAGAAACACATCTGGAATTTTTCCCATCGGGATTGATATGGATCTCATTAATAGCAGCTTTGTAATCTGTCTGTAACTTTTTCAGTAAGTGATATTATTCTGATAGTAGTGATTAGTAGTGTATACATTGTACAAATGCAAATCAGGTGGCTCTACCTGGGAGAATCCACCTAAAGCTGTATTACCCTGTTTCACTTAATAGAAGGAAAAAAGCTTATTCTCTGGTCGGATGAATTACACTGCTTTGACCACAAGGCGAGCTTGAAAATCACACAACAGTTCCTTGAACAACTTCCTACAAGAAGGAGCATGCTAAGGTAAATTGTTTAGGCACTAGGAATTTGTGCAATGGAGAACATTTCCACTCTCGCTGTATTTTTAGTTAGGATGTCCATCTTCTGAATGGTGCAAATTATGGCATGGATTCCAACCAAAAAGCTTGTCCAATTTAAAAACAGCAGAGAGAACTGTACTTGCCCAACATCTACCGTGCTTTCAGCCCCTTCTTGTTTTCGCTGCAGATTTCATTCTTGTTTCTAGTTCATATCTTCCAATTTTCTCAATAAAATTATAGAATTGATTGGATATTGTCATTGCTATGCAAGTTTTTCAGGTAAAACCCAGATTATGATGACTTTAAAAAAAATGAAAATAACTGACAAAAAAATTCTAAGAAACATCATAATGGACTACCTGTGTGATCGTCTTGGAGCATCAATTTATATCATGTACAAAGAAGCTGAACAATTTACTTCTTGGCTTTGTTTGTTTGAATTATCTCCCTTTCTTGTGTGCTGTGGGCAACTATTGGTGCAATAGCTGCTACAGACTTTTTTCCCCTCACTTTTACTGTTTTGCTTTCATTTCCTGTTTGTGTCTGAAAGCCAGGCTTGTCCTTCACCTACGTTTTCACTGGGAAGGCTTTCTCTGGAACACCTTAAAGTCACTGTAGGGAGTTGCACTGATGAGATTTGCAACCTACAAATATTCAGTAATAATGAGTCAGGACAGAAAATGCATGCAGTTTGAAAATAATGGTTTCTTTTTCCTCAGGTTTCTGAGCCTTTATTAGTTATTGAGGTCTCATTTCCAACTATAAGGCTACGAAAATAGTTTTAATTTGCTTTGGGTTTTTTTTAACATGAAAGCTGAGATTTTTCCCAGTTCCTACAAACTGTGTCTCGTAGAACTTTTCAGAATATTGCACTGTATGTAAGAAAATCAGAAGAGCTGAAAATATCTCTGTTAATGTCATGGTGTATACTTTGCAGCAGATTAATAATTTCTGCGTCATCTTAATAGGAATTTTTGTCTAGGTTCTGAAATGGCATTGATCATTCTGTAAGTATATAAACCTTGAAAAAATTAAGACTTTCTCAGAACAAGCCATCTGTTTCAGTAACAATGCTTGAAACATTGACATTTCTTCTGCCAGCATCCTCACTCCGGTAAGAATTATGCAGGAAATTTTTGCCCCAAGCAGACTTTTGACCTGGATAAGAGCAATATGCCAGAGGTGAAGGAACATCAGGCAGTCAAGAACCAAATGAATTAGGAAGTCTGGTCCCCTGATGATGCAGACACCAAATCATAAACCCCTTTCATAAACTGACTAAGGTTTACCTCAAGTAGTTTGTTTTGTACTATCCTGTCTTCCTCTGCTTCCATCACAAGGCTCTCTTGAATCTTACATGTTTTAAATGTTAGTGACCTTATTTTCATCCTCATCTGACTGTGTCATGATCAGGTCATACTCATTTCTTTTATGCCTATTTGTTCATTAGCTTCAGTAGCTCTTTACCTTCTGTGCTGCATCCCCTGTGCTGTACATAGACAGGGCAGTCACATCTGTTCTGTGCTTGTGCTTGGCTGTGCTAAACAGTATGTGCATTTTTGGTTTAGGTGATGGTTGCAGGCTCTTTTTCATCATTGTCCTATGAGAACATATGGTACATACATACCAATTGCTTTTCAGCTTTATTGACGTACATGTGTGAGAACTGTATGTGCTGTTTGTTCTAGATGGAAGAATTAAGTATTCCAGGCTCCTTCTGCAGCGGTGCTATTAGTTGTTATGAAGGCCACTAAAGATTTCACTATTCCCTTCAATGCTTTCAAATATGAAAATTGCTCTGCTACAGTAGGAAAACCTCAACATAGATATAGACGTTAAATAATGTGGTAGGAAGAAACAAGATCAGAGTCTTTTGAAACAGTGAAGTGCAATTTGATGTGCTCTACCTAAGACTGCCGGCAGCTCAGGACAGTCAAACATGCCAACGGTGGCAGGAATGAGCAGTGGATGGGGAGGGTTGCTGGCAATGGCATGGCTGTGGATTAACTTTTCTCTGCAAATAGAATAAAGAGAACAGTAAGATGGCTTTATAAAAGCAAAGGGCAGTCACTGTGTTTCAACAGACCAGTTAATTAGTATATATGATGAAAAACAACAGGTCAGTAACAGGAACTGTGCCCCATCATCTGCAGTCTTCTGGAATGTATGTTAGAGCTTCACCAAAAAAATCAGATTCCCTGCCTTTTGGGAGCGCAATGTTGCACAGCAGCAATTAGCCTAGATGACTGCTGTCTTACTCTTTTTCATTAGAAACAGCAATCTCCTTCCTGTCCCCGTGGAATGTGAGCAGGACTATAGTTGTGCTAAACTTTGGCCACCTGGCGACGTTACTGGCTGGCATCTTCCATGTGAGCTAACTCTTTCTGCTAGTGAGAAGGATTGGACCCTTTCTCCTTCCCGGCTCATCTCATTTTTTATTTGCACAGAAGGCTTTGAAAACTCAGGCAGTAATTACAGTCTGATTTTGCTCACCTTCATCGTGTTTCCAAATACCATGTAATCTCATCTATCTGGCTCAGTGCTCCCTCAGAGGCCTTGAACACCCCACCTGGCTTTTGGTAGGAGAAACTAGCTGTAATTCAATCTTGTGTCTTTGACAGTAACACATGAAAAACAAACTGCGACATTGAAATGATGTTAGGAGTTTTTTAAGCTAACAGCATTCTATGCTGTCTAGAAATCAGCTTTTCAGCCTTGCATAGTTGTGTTTTGGTATTAGAGGGTTCAGTGAACAATGACAAATTTTGCATGTTGTCTTATACACTGCACCATGAGGCAGGTCAGGACAAAGTTTCTACCTTGTCTGAATTTTAGAGCTTTTTTTTTTTTCCTCTCAAAAGGAAGCCAACCTTTAAACCAAGCTTCTTGTTATTTTTTGTGTGTGCCTGTGCGGTTTTTGTCTGAAATGTTTGGAGAATCAGTAGGAAAGTCTCAGGATTTCATTAGAGCAGGCAAATTGATTTATTTTTCTCTTTAATATTTAGAGTTTATCTCAAAACTTTCCAGACCCCATAATGATTATTTGCACTATATAGGTAAGCTGTTGAGGACACTTTGTTGGACTTCATGCATGTCAGAACATAGTCAGTTAGCAGGAGGGACTGAGCTGATGTTATATCAGTCTTTGATTCTGTGCCTTGGTGGTGCGTAAGCGCAAGATATTAATGACTGCAGAAAGGTTAAACTTTACGTGTCTTCCTGTTTATCACAAAGGTACAGGGTACAATCAGAAAGCAGTCTTGGCAGGCAGCAGGCTTGCAATATCCATGTGCTGCTTATCTACCCTACCGTGGTGTTTGTACTGAAATTTGATTACCATATATGAAGGTAAAGACTTAAGAAGCAGAGGGAGTCTGAAGGGTAGCTCTTGGTTCCCAACTACAGCAGACTGTGGCATGGGTATTTGATCACCCTCTAGCAACGTTACCCTAGTGTGAAAATGGTTTTAGAAGAAATAGACCTTTGCAGAGCTTCAAAAGATCATCTGTTTAATTTTCCCTCTTAGAAGTAGGCACAGCTGTGGCTAACCCATGCTTAACAGATGTAAACTCCTTTGTAAAAATAGTACAGTCAAATCAGAAACCAAGGTAGTTGATGCAAGTTCTGTAACCCATGTCCCGACAGTAGATTTCAATGTGTAATAATCCCAAGCATAGGAAACCTTTTTCTAATGTTAAAGTTTCGTTTGCTGCAGTTCAGGCCCAGGGCTGCTACTTCTGTTTACCAGGGATACGGAGATGGAACCTTTCTCTTTTGCAGCAGCCTTGTAATATTTAACCGTTCATCGTGTCCTCTCTCAATTTTCTCTTCTCTAGATTAAACAAATTCATTTCTTTCTAGCTTTCCTCTATGATTGTGTTTTCTAGACCTTAAATCTTTTTCACAGCTCTCCTATGGCCTTTTTCCAGTTTGTTCGTGTTTTTTGTGTGAGGCCCAGAATCGGGCATGGTCCTTGAGCTGATGCTTTCTGATCCTGAATAAAGTAGAGTGCTTAATGGGTTTTACAGCTGTGACAGCTACATTTTTCAGTCATGATAGGATGTTTATCTTTTCTGCAATAGTATGACAATGTTCTGTGTATGAACCACAGCGCCGAGTATGGAGGCCCTTTAAGGTACGTTGGAGCAGCTGGTCCCGCTCTAAATAGAGCGGTGAGCAGGCAATGGGAAAATGCCTGCACCAATGAGTTTAAACAACCTACTACATGATGGAGAGCAAAGAGGGCAAGAAGGCTGATGATGCTCCAGAGTGCCTCAAAGGTGCAGAGCAACCATTCCAAGGGGAGGAGGCTGGGATAACTGAAAGTCCTCCTACCCAACCTGTGGGGTTTTTGTTCAGCGGACTTTACCTGCCCCTCCTTTTTCTTTGCGTATGGAATAAAGCCTGTTCAAAGGCATTTGTTGGAGTGGCTGTGGCATTTACTGCCCCTTCTTGTCGGAAGAAAGGACCATGGTTTACACCCTCACAGTCCTTCTTGCAGAGCTGCGAAGGGACAAGCAATTACAAAACCCAAATGGTAGAGTTATTAGGAAAGGGCAGAGAACAAAGCAAAGCAGTGTTGTACCGCTGCATAATTCACTGGCATCTGTATAGTGAATGGCCAATTAGTTGAGGACTTTTCAGTCTGAAAGGGACAACTGTAGGTGCACTCCAGAGTCTGTAGGCATGAATAGCACGGGAGAAGATGGATAGGGATCAGTGGCTCACTGTCTCTTATAAAAGAAAGAACTAGGGGTCTCAGATGGCAGTGGTAGGGTGCACTGACCCAGTGTGGCCATTCTACAATACGAAGTTGTCTTTACTATACTGTCTGATTTTTCTTTTAGACCATTTCTGCAGTTTGTTAAGATCAACTTAATTTTTGGCCTGATCTCTACTGTTAAAGGTTTTCTTCTTGCAGCCATCCAATTTTTGGCTCTCTTATTTGCTGATTTAGGAAAAGAAGTATGTTGGTTGTAGGATGGGGTTAATCCTTATTAATGCAGTTTCTTAAATTTTTCAGCTGCTTTAGGAATCTTTGAGCTGCTTGGATTTTTGACAGAGGATTAATGTCAATAAGAAATGTGAAATCAGGACACCACAAGCCGCCTCATTCCCTGTGCTATCACACCCTGCTGCTCCCCAGAGAAGGGAGGCAAGGGAGAGAACATACGTCTAGGTCTCACTAGGGAAAAAGGAAAAGGTTAGTTTAGATTTTTGCTCCCTACTTTTTTAAATGTCTCTATCAGAGTTAATTATTCAGTGCTAGAGTGCTTTAGTTTGTATTTTAGCCATGTTATTAATAAACTTGGTAGATTTTGTACCTTCTCTCTAACCATGGATGCTTTTGAGCATAAGCAAACAAAAGAGAGTGTAGAATTCATGCTGGAACAAAGAAGTCATTCTTTTGTAAAAGAAAAATGTTGTTCATGCCCTTTTACAAATGCAGCGTGCAGGTTATGTACAATGTGAGGTTCTAGCACTGGGTTTTTGTTTTTTTTTTTTCCTTCAGCTTTCAGTTTTTCTTCAGTGCTCATTCTCCTTAATTAAAGAAGAGACAAAAGGGCGGAGTGGCTTAAAGGACGATGAAGGGAAAAAAAAAAAAAGGAAAGGAAATATCTGAGAAATAAGGCCCCAGTGGAGCTTAGTGGCTGCCAGTCTGCCTTTCCTTACCATCATGATTTCTAGAAGCTGGTGCCATCTTCTCCTCTACTCTTTCAGGGACTTGGCCTTGTCTTCCTCTTTCCTTGTTATAGTGAAAAACTATCAATCAGTTTATTTTACTTTCTCTCTGGTCTAGCTTATTCCCTTCTACACATTTATTTATTAATTGCCTTGAAAACAGCAGGTAGGAATAGGGAGCAGGTTCTAATCTAGATTAAATGTCTGAATTTGTTCAATAGGTACTTCGATAGAGGCGGTGCTGGTCTAGGATTTGCATGATACTTTGCGAAGTTAGTGCCGCTGATGTTGAATACCTCAGCACACATCAAAGAGGGGTGGTTGTGAATGGATCTGTGTGTCGAGGACAGAATGGAAATGGTTGGAAAACTTGGCTGGGGAGCTTCCGGCAGGCTAGTTCAGCCTTCCAGGTAGAAATTTCTGGGGTCACAACTCTTCTTACTTGTCAGGGAGAAAATAACTGGAAATGTAATATTTTGTCACGTAAGCTATAATCCCCTAGGCACGAATATATATCACCCTTTCTTGTGTATATAGATTCCTGTTCAAGAATAGTTTCCTGGAAGCACACTTCCTCTCACTGTGTGCAGTGACAAAGTGTGTTAGAGATTTTTACTAATGTCTTTGCATAAGGAATGCGAACTTGAGAGCTGGGAGAGACTTGGACTGTACCTCGTAATTATCACATTGAGCATTTCATAGAATGATTTAGGTTGGAAAAAACCTTCAAGATCAATCAAGTCTCTATTTCGTCTATTTAGATGTCATTTGCTGTTTTATCAGGGTATGTCATTCAAACTAGTCATTTTAGATGCTTGGCATTTCTCACCCAAATCACGCAGGTCATAAGTGTGTGCCACAAGCATCCAAATTTCTCACTTTTTCATGGCTGTCATGTGCTGTGAGGTTTGATTATGTATGTTCTGGAATTTGGGGTGGGGTAGCTAGGAAGTGGTTAAAAACTAAATTTGAAAAAATTAAAACTCTCGCTTTACGCACTGTTTGCCCATAGGGCACAAGGCAATTTCAGTTCTGGAACTGTGGTTGTTGGTGAAGCTCACCTGCCTTTAGGTAGCAGCAGCAGACGACTCAGGTAAAATGCAGCATGCCATATGTAAGCTGCTCAGTAGATACAAAATTAAATGTAATTCAGAAACGTTTACTTTTTCTGTTTGTCAAACTCCCACGCATTCCTTGGAATGTATTTCAGGTGCTCTGCAGAGAGCGTTCCCATGGCCTGTTTGAGGCATATCCTGCTATTTCCTGAAGGGTCCTAGAATACGCCAGACGCGCTTCAGAGCCGAGACAGAGCAGCCATGCTCCTGGAGAGGTTTGGCAGATCCCGTTTCCCTGTCACTGCTGGGGGTGTTCTGGCAGGTTCTGGCCTGCTCTGATTTATTGAGGTGGCAAAGCACTTTTCATAGATCATGAGCTTACAGCATTTATGATTTCTTAATATTTCCAAAATGGAATTACTGTCAAGATTTATAGGAGCTAAATATCCTCTAATTTGCTCTTTTTTTCCCCCATATGGGTATAATATTTCCCCCCAAACTGTTCCTCCCACATCTTTAGATAAAGCAAAAGTATGAATTGAAAGTCAGTTTCCCTGGCTCTGCGTACAATATTGTTAAATATTACTACATAATAGTAGGTGGTCTAAGGGTATTCTGTTCTTTGCTAGAAAAATCCCAAAGTTTACCTGTAGCAAATACAATATTAAGGCCAGTGGTCACTTCCCCCTTCTCTTTGGGCATCACTTTAGTCACATGCAGAAGGGACACCACAGACCGTCAGGTCAGCCCTGCTAGGGCTTCATCTGCTTTTGGGGACCTACCTCTCGGGACCCAGGGAATCCCAGGAGGATCTGACCTTCCTCCTGGTTTTACCAGATACCTTGTAAGGGGGAATCTGCATTAGGGAGAGGCACTCAATAATCCATGTCATACTACTGTAAACTGTCTTTCCCTGGTGTATGGCTTGCAGATAGACCTGTTAATTGCATCTATAAATAATACCAACTTCTGAGTTAGGCCTGACCTTACAGCGTGTACCTTCTTTTTTGTGCAGTGCTCTTGGATAGGCGAACTGAACTGGCTAAGTTTTTTTTATTTACACTGCACTACTTTGTAGCGTTATCGTGGGGAATCCTCCTGATTCCTGAGAGGAGAATAAAACCTGGTTGTGTAGGTGTTTTCTGAAGCATCCAAGTTTTTGCTGAAGATTGCATGTCACAGCAGCAACCAGAGTAGCTCCGTGACCTAATAAACGAGCCCAAAGGTGCTGGTGACCCCCAGGCAATGGAATTGTCCTTCACTGTGGCTGCTGCCTGGGGAGAATGGGGACCATTTTGTGGGACCTGGCTTCTGCTATTAGTTCAAGTGTTAGCTGTAAAGGAGGAGCTGTGAACATCTGTGTTGTAAACCATTCAAAGCTCTTGCGTTGTATGAGAATCCTGCAAAGATGCCTCCTATTGATGTTGGAAGGAGGTGGAGATAACTCCTTGGAGACCGACCAGTGTAACATAATACTTATATTTCAGTGCACCAAAATGCTCTGAAAAATGTTGAACTAATTTGCCAGGTTATTGAAGTTTTTAGGATATTTTCAGAGTATTATTGTATCCTGTTCTGTTTGGGGTTTGTTTGTGTTTTTGTTTGTTTCTAAATAGGCCTGTGGTTTTTTACTTAAGATCTTCAGAAGCTCTAATATGTCTAACACATCTTCCCCACCTTTTCCCAGATAAAGTAATATAGATCCTTTCATATCCTCAGCTCTGGAAAAACATTCCTTTCCTTCTGGATCAGCCATGTCATCTGTGCATCCTGCTTTTATGATTATAGATGATCTTATTAAAGATTGCATGAGTGGATGTGAAGCAGTATGCATGGGTGAGTTTGAGTCGTCTTGTTTTGTTAAACACTCTTGGCTTCTCTTCCCCCTCCTGGAGATTTCTGCAACCTTTGATTTATTGAGCATCTGTGATAGGACTGTACTTTGAGCAATTTATAATTCAGAATTCATTTCATCCTTTCCTCACCGTGCTGCTGTCTGAAATTGTTGCTCTGTACTTGGCTGTGGTGTAGTGTAGATGAGTTTATCTTAAACCAGGTAGTTCAAGCCCAAAAGTTATATGATTGCAGTAGCACTGTATGCTGAGTGCATGCTGAGTGCAGAAACAGCTTGAAGGGAGGGTTAAACCGGTGTATTACGTCTGTCCTGCTACCAGTACCTGGGTTAGCCAGGCCGTATCTATTTCAGATACGTGTACGTAGCACTTGCAGTATGGCTGTGGTGGAGATGCACTCTCTTGACTCTCTGAACATGCAGTACCTTCCTTTCTTCATTTCTGTAGCATAGTGTGATTGATTTTGATCCAGAACATCCCTACTACTGTTTTGATATGATTGAATGAACAGATTTCTAATAGTATTAACATATTTTCTAGCAGTGGTCTTGATACACTCAGAAATGGTCCAATATGAAAGTTTAATATTTCTGTAGTTTCTTTTGCTAATTGTTTCCTTCTCTCTGGCTGCTATAGAAGAGGCAAATTTTTAGTAGCTGCTGGTTTTGTCTGTTGAGGGTGTAATTAGGATAATGTATTCCCATAATGACACGGTTAAGAAGGACTAGTTCTCTCTTTTGTAAATGATTTTGGATAGATCACAACTGTTTGGTTTGGCAAGGAGCTCTCTTCAATCATTTATATGTTAATGAATGCAGAAGAAAACACCTACATCTGTACTGAACTTCCATTCTCTGTAAACTAAGTGCTGCTTCATGATCTCCTGAACAGTCTCCTTTCTTGCCTGTGTTAGGATAGCTGCTGTGCATGTGTGTACGAGCGAGGCAGAAGCAGCCATGAGAGCAGGTAACCCCAGCCTTGCTCTCCACATGCATTTGCCCCGTGCATCCGCACAGCACGCTTATGTGCGGTGAACAATTTAAAGGCAGCTCCTCACTCCTTCCTCACACGCTCGTGCAGACAGCACATAAATTGTCTTGTGCTTACAAAGCTGGAAGTAAAAACTGCCTAAACTCTGGTTGCAATTTACAACTTATTGTAGCTAAATGAATAGCCAAACAATAGTGTGAGAGTTCTAAATTGCTGAGTGGAAGTGATTGACAGGCTTACGACTGGAGTGTTTTGGGTGTCCTCATGGCATGGATTCTGACAGATTGGTTTCACTGCAGGCGCCTTTGTGTAAAAGTAAAATCTTCCACGTTACTGTACTGCTGGTGAGAATGTAGAATCAGCACTTAGGTGTAGATTCTCTCAACCTCCCTACAGAAATTTGTCCTGCCTAGTTCAGGAATTAATTTCTCTCTCATTTTGGTTTTCTCAGGTTCTCGAAGCCAGCACCAATGTTCTTGGATGATTCCTTCAGGAAATGGGCACGTATCAGGGACTTTGTACCCCCCTTTGGAATTAAAGGACAAGGTATGAGAACACTCTACAGCTGTTGGAAAAGGAGGTCGTTCTGCAGATGCTTGCCCCATCTTGTTTTTCTGTTTTGAAAGCTCAGGTGGTCCTTTGAGTTCAGCTATTTTCCATGTTTTAGAGAAATATTGTACATGTAGCTCTCAAGCTCAAAAGGATTTTCACAGCTGGAACATGGACCTCAGAGGCTGGTCTTAGGGAGGATAGTTTAGCACATGGCGAGAATTGGTGCAACAATGGCAATTTAGATGTACCATCACATTCTGGAAGAATCATTTTGACACTGACTGCTGTAGCATCTCGGCTGACAGCAGTAGAGAGAGTCCAAACTGGTTTGAAGTACCTTTAAGTCGGTAATTCTCTAAAGAACAGGAAGGACTCCTCTTTCTGAGCCTTGGAGCATTGAAGTTGAACACTGAAACAAATCTTCATTTTCTTTTCATAGCTTTTGGTCATATAATTATTTTATAGTTGTGCTTGTGGACTTGTATAGCAAATAGGAGAAATCTGTTCAGATGCTTTGGTGGTGGTCTGTAATATGCCCTGTCCTCTAGCTGGAGTGTGGCAGCAAAGGCTGCGTCTCAGGTATGCTGTGAGAGAGCAAGAGTGGTGCTGGTGGTGATGAGATGGGAGTCAGTAGTCCACCCAGCAAATGGTAATTTTTGTGGGTGACACAAACTCCTTGCTATCCCACATGTGCCACGAAAGGCCTCTCTGGGTGAGTAGTTGTGGAGCAGAAGGCTTACACTCAGAGTAGTGATTTGCAGCAAACTTCCTGGAGTCTGAGGTATTTATTAGGAAGTGCTTGTGGCATTGCACCCAATTCCAAGATTTTTTTTTCCACTGACATATTTAAGATTACAGATGGCCTCCAGAGGAATTGAAATACCTGGTGGAGAAAGGACTGCAGCCACTATAGGCTTGGGTCTGTCGCTCTCCCTGGAAGCAGGTGTGGTGGTTGTCAGAACAATATCTGATCAAATCAAAGGCTCTACTGACTCATTTCTTTTGGCTTGCATCAATGCCCTTCTTTGTTTTGTGTATGTCTATTCCTTGTCCAGTCAGCCTTTTGCAGCTCAACAGGCAACTAATTACTGTCCTCTAAATGAGCCAGCAGCAAAGAAATAGCAGCGGCAGCACAAGTGGAAGGCTGCATTGACCACAGGAGGGCTTGTCCCCTTCTAACAGGCACACAAGGTGTACAAAGCTAGGGCAAACTGCCTGACCAACATGGAGGTGGGATTTTCAGATTATGCATGTCAGCTAGACCTAATAAAAATCATTCTATTAAACTGAATTCAAATGGAGAAATTCACCAAAAGGGGATGACAGAACAGCTCTGGCATCCTTCTCCCTGGGTTTGTTGCCAGCTTGTATCACCACTGCAATGTTATGTAAATCTGGTGTTTTATATTGGATTTCCTCAGTTAAAAAGAGAAATGAGAAATTGCCATTATTTAAATGGCTGTGAGCTGAAGCCATGGGATGGAAACCGTTGAATGGGTTGTGGGTTTGTTTTTTTTTTTTTTTTAATACCCTCCTGGGACTGGATTTTGTGCCAAGTTTCAGTCTGGAGCAAGTTCTGTGTGTGGGAGGGTTGAATTATAAATCTCTGTAGCCCAGGATTTCTAATGGCCATGCTGACAGGCTGTGAGTCCTAGCGATGCAAATGGCGCCCTTTCATGTTACACATCACTTGGAATTCTTGCATCAGTCTTTTCTGGCCATCCCATAGGACACGTTCTGGCTCAGTTGAGTGATTGGATGATGGGATCAGCACCTCATTAGGGCTTTCAGTCAGGGTAATCTGATGATATCCAAACAACTAACCCAGGCAGGCAGCATGGAGCTCAGTCACGTGCTCGTGCGAAATGAAGACTATCAGAGCTGGGATGTGCATGGGAAAAAGAGTAGTTGGGAATGGCTGAGAAAGTGTAGAGAGAGATGTGTGTGTATTGAAACAGAGAGGACGGGAGTTTTCTCTGCGTTAGGAAATCCTGTGACACCATCAGCTGGGATTTCCGATGTGCATCATGCTGGGAAAGGCAGTCGGTGTTTATAGACACTGGCTGCAGCTGGGTTGGTAATAGGAAGATTTTGCTATTCAATTTGGTGACTATCACCTGGCATTTTCAAGTCACTGTGATCTAGTCCAAGTACAAAATGAATTTGTTTTGGGGTTTGGGTTGGGTTTTTTTGTGTGTGTGTGAAATACAGCTACAGGATGAGCTCCCTTTCAGTAATGCTGCATGTTCCAAGAAACTTCCAGAAACTAATCTGTGGTAGCTTGAACGTACTAAAGTTATGAAATCAACAGATTCTTAGCAGCTCGGAGGCTAATCCACCATTTCTGCTTTCTCTTGTTAAAGATTCTCACTGTTCTTCAGACTTCTAGCTAAGCTTTTCTTTGCTTTGTCTCTGAAAAAAATGGAAGGTCCTTTTTCATCTATCACTTGGTGTTTACTGGTCCAAGAAAGAACATTTCCAAGATTGCAAGAACCAGTCTTGCAATCTTTAGGGTAAAGCAGCTTTTGAGGAGCATTGTCTACTGAGCTGCACTAATTTGGAGTAACATGTCTGTATAAATTACATGTAAAAGAGTAGAAATGGCTCAGAAGTTTTCAGGGCAGGACTACCACTCTTTAAAGGTGATCATATCAAGGAGAAGGCAGTATGCTGATCATTTTGACACAGTTCATCAGGAATCTTAATTTTCTTCAAAAAGAATCTGATTGTGTAGAGACAGTTCTTCCATCTCCAGATGCTAAAAAGTGCTCAGTATAACCTAGAAAGCTTAACAGTGTTTCTTCATGAAAGAATGCTCACTCCTTTTCTCCATTGGTCATTTTCTGATTTGGCCATTAGCCCATGCAACGGGGTTTTATGACCAGTGCCCCACTGTCTGCAAGAGCATTTGCATGTAGCAGCCCTCAAGGTGAGTATGGTTCTGAATATGAACGTTTTTTAGACTTTCCCCCTGAATAATGCTGGTTCTGAAATGAACTGTTGCGTAGGAATAATGCACATCTCTTGTCGGATTGGAAACTGATAACCACACCTTAGTGATAACTTGTCTGCTAAATGAAAGGAGCACAGGAGCAGGTGGTGACCCTATGCCTTTATGAACAGGACTTTCTGAAATGAGGCACATGGTAAGAAGTCTTTACAAACTCTTTTTGAACTGTGATCCCTGAATGTCCTATACAAGGTATTAGAAATATTTGAAGAGGGGTGTATGAGGAGTGGTTGTACCTTTTTCTTAAACAGGCAGAGAGTTTTAGTACATCATGTAGTTGTTGACTCTGCCTCTGTTCACCAAAGATTTGGACCAAGGGCTGATCCTAATTACTTGATCCCGATCCCCAGCGATCCTTGCTCTCTCTGTGTGCAGAGAGTAGGGAAAAGTGATAGATATGTCATATTTCTGAAGAGGCACGAGAATATTAGGTTTTGACACCGCAAAGGATCACTGCAAGTATCTAGTTTGGCCTTTTGTGTAACAGTGGCTTTCTAGGTTTCACCCAGTGATTTCTGCAGCTGGCTATGAATGCGCGAGGTTATCTTTCAGAATCTAAATCAAGATATTCTAAATTATGAAGAATGATCATGTTGTTAAACAGGCCAGTGTCATATTTGACTGCACTTACTTTAAAAAAAGAGGCTTAGTGCCACGTTGAGCTTTGTTGTTTCCTACTATGTGACTTGACAGAATCTAGAAACAGGATGTTCCACTGTGAGTGCTTGGAAATTACTCCATCTCTATTAATAAGTAAAATGGTTGTCCTCTGGTCCTGAAGGCAGTTGAGCTCATTGTTCAAACAGGTTAATTTCCTGCGCCACCCCCTCCCCCCCAAAAAAACCCAAAAAACAAAAACCAAAAAAAGGTGTCTATATCCAGGCTTCCTATCAAGAAAGGTCACTGGCCTGTATTAGCCTGTGACCTTATGAATACATGAGAATTAGGGAAGAGTATTTGGCCCTGGCGAAAACCATCCGGGACTATGCTAACACTTCAATAGTATGGGCTCGTGTAGGACAGTGTGGGCCCATGCCCTGCTGACAGTTTGTTTATTACAGTGTATATAGCCAAAACAAGGGGTGTCATTCAGGAATACAATGAAATTAGTCAACCTCAAGAGTTGTTGAGAAAAATCAAACTGTTACAAGAAGTTGGAACTCTAAAAGCTATAAATGTCAAGATGTCCTGTGGGGGACAGCTCAGGCTGCCGAGCACCCTCCTGTGTCCCAGGCTATTGTTTCGGCATTAACTGGGATGTTGGAGTGCCTCCCACATTTCACCATTAGCGAGGGCCTAATTTACTTGTAGGAATTCCTCCTTCCCAGCACCCACCAAGCCTGCTCTTGCAGCTTGTTCAGTGAAGAACAAGGCTCTTCGGTGTCTCAGGCTCTTAAATGAGTTACGTGGAGATTTTTTTTAAACTGAAATTTAAATTCCTTCTTTTGTATTTGCACCCTTTTCTAGCAGTGCTTCTATCAGTGTAGCTTACGGAGGTATGAATATGCACATGCTGTCCATGTTGTTGCAGAGATCCTCTAGCATGTGCACTGCTTTCAGGGTTAAATTTGTCAATGAATAAGCAATGGAAAAATTGTTTAGAGTGTTAGTGAGATTATTAATCCCAGAGGCCCTCCTCCCCAAATTTACCTCTGTAGCTAAAGCAAAAGGAAAGAGTTATTTGGAGAAGAGCAACAAACAAGACTGGAGAAATACCTGACTATTAATAGAATTTCTCAGTACATGTGGTTTAAAGAATATAAAAGGCTTTCATACGAAAGAGGAGCTAGTATCTGGCATCCTCTCTGTGTAATGAGGATGGGAGGGTTGCTGCAGTTTTTTTGAACTTAAGCAAAAACATACGGCACAGCATACATTAAAAAAATAAACAAACATGATCCATGTAGTATCTCTACCATGCATTTAGTCTGTAATTGTGTCATTGCTTAGCAGTAATTATAGGTCTTCACTTCTACCTTTGTTC